AAAAGAAAACCAAATGCAGCAAGAACTTCAGATTTCTACATTACTGATGTTTTATTCTCTTTTTTTACTCTATATTTGTTGAAAACTGGCCACCAAATAGAAAATTATGTTGGCACTGCTCAAGGTGTGTCCTTCTGTGCTTTAAAAATAAATTCCAAATATTGTATCCTTAGAAATTCTGCAGGAAAAATATTGCAATTAGCATTATAAGTAAAGAATGTTTTTTTAAATAAAAAGGTTTATCTAAAAATATCACAGCTTAACCCAAGTGGACCTATCTCCCCTTTGATAAAAAGCCAGATTGCAAGTAATAACGTGAACCATAGACAAGAGTCAAAATTGTCAGCATGTTTCAGATATACAGGAATGTATTCAATTATAAGTAACAATGTCTTGAATATGACCCAGCTAAGCATGAATCAGTAAATGTGAAGGTACAGAGAATGCCTGTAAGAGAAGCTATAGCACCAGATGAGCACCAATAGCTTTTATCTGTAATTGAGATATATATAGAAAACATCACATGGTCCAAATATCAAATGTATTTTTACTGTCTGCTGTGGCCTCACACTGCCTTGCAAGATGCACCTTATGTTGTAACTGATGAGCACACACAAAACCTGACTGTATAATCCTCTTTACAGTCTCTGATTAAATTTAGCCCAGAATCTGAGCTTCCTTCTAGTTCTGAGAGTGTTAACTCTCCGTTAATTTTCCCATGCATTTCTTAATTGTTGACTAGATACTTCAGTGAATCTCAGAAGAAATATTTCAAATCAATAATTTATTCTGAAGGCTGGGTGAGTCATCTGGGGCACATCATTAAAACAATTATGTTATTCTGATGGCATTATACCCAAGCAACATTTATTTTTAACAAGGCTAAAATGTGGATATCAAGAATATATGCACAATGCAATGAGCACTAAATCCTGCAGCAGCTTCACACTTGCGAGATTCTTCTGATGTTAGAAGAAAAATTATGAAAGTTTGCAGGGTCACAGACAACTGTTACGGAATGTGGCAAACCTAAATCTAGAGACGTAACTATAGATTGATACACTGTCCATTTGTTCCACTAAATGTGCATTTCCCTAGTCAAGCCCACTTGAGATATAGTGCTTAACCATGATTTAAAGGAGTAACAGTGAAGGCCATGTATTTGGTTCTAGTGTAATTAATAACCCAAATATACTGTGAAACAAGTGCAATATAAAATGCTAACGCCTACTAGCTATTTTGCAAAGCTGAGAAGCTGGAGAAGCAAGGGAATGAGTGGCCTTAAACATGTTTTGCTTGATGCAAGTATAACACTTAACTACATTCAATACAAATCCTAGTGTTTACATCAGCTTTAAATTGCTATCTCACAGTCTAGATTACTGTGAACATTTTAGGATTAAGCACCCGTCAATTAAAAACAAACAAACAATGGTTTAAGAATCTCAACATAACACACCCCTGGTTGACGAAAACAAACCATTGTTAAAAAAAGTCAAACCACAGGTATAGGAAAGCCATGGTCAAAACTGGTATCTGCCAAAAAAAAAAAAAAAGGTTTTCTGTGTACTGATGTTTCTCTATGTGATTTGGTCCAAAATAAGACTACCTATTCCTTAACTCAGAGTAGCCTCCTAACAAATGATGCCATTTATACCCAGTGATCAAAATCAATGCTTTGCCATGTAAACACAGTCTGTTCTTCTTGAAGTGTGTTAACTGTATTGCCAGGCTGATATATCACATTTGTCACATCTACTTAAAAGCTCTTTCTCATAGAAAAAAAAATACTAGCTGCTTTCCAGCCTTTGAACATGTATGAATACTGGCAGAAAGTCTGGTCAGGAATCAATTCAACTGCTCCACACAGATCAACTTTCAAAATGTTATAGGCCAAACTACCCTAGACTTTCTGCAGAAGGAAGGGGGAAAGGTCTCCTTGTCCACAAATCCCATAAACCAGTGACAACCCCCACACCACACACAACACTTTGAATTATCCACCTACAGAGATAAAGTGACTCTTAATGCCTGTCTACTACTATAGTACATTAAATTAGGAGACAGCAGCAGAACAAAAAAAGAGTATAAACATAATATGGTATGACATTCTTCCTTCAGCTAACTTATTCACAAATCTTTCACTGGCCTAATTAATGACACTGCCACTCTTATGATTAGTAGCATTTCACATAGCATTTCACATGTTGTTTCCTTCAAGTCCAAACATACAAGATTTTAGGACTGAGACCCTTTTTTGAAATTCAGAGGACTGGCTGCATTATTTTTTTGCTAAAATTACCACTCCCCAAAACAAAACACTCCTCTGGCATCAAAGACTGATAGATTTATTGTGACATATGTTCTTCTAGACCAGAACCCATTTCCTCATATATATAAAGAGAAAGCACCAGGAAGAATGCAAAGACAGAGAGAATGATAAAGGGGAAAACAATGGAATGAAAGACCATGAATGGCAATATGGAACTGTGTGGCATGTCTTTGAAAAGTTCAAATGTTTGCAGACTAAACACAGGGACCACGCACACTTGCAATAACTGGTGATTATGTACTCTTCTAAATTTAATGCTTAGAGTGAACATCTTGGTTCTCATTTATTCCCAAATTAACAGACTCATGCATCTGATAAATTCAACTTTATATTGGAGTCTCCTTTTGAAGTTTCCTTGTTGTTGGAGAATGACGTAGCAATAAGCAGCAGAGTGTTCTAAGTCAATGTTCTTCCATTGGTTTCTAAATGTTGCTGTTTTCGAGGACATATGTATTTAGATTTGAAATGAAAGACTGACTTCTTTGTGCTAGGTAGACACCAGAAGGGCTTCCTTTACAGGCAAAGGCAGGACTTTGCCCAAAGCCAGTCTTGTAATTGATGCCTAATATGGACTAAAGCCTTGGTCTGGCCTGCCATCTTTTAGGGGCAGCTCCCTAATTTAGCAATGTTACTTGGCAGCAATAACAGGACACTTCACCAAAATCAGCTCTGCGACAATCCAGATGCAACTGTTGTATGAACACTGTGTAAGGAACTAATAGCCACCCTAATTCAGGAATTCCTCAAATCCACTTACCAGAAAATGTAAGTGGAGAAAGCTGAGGGGGGCACTTGAGAAATCCCATTTTCCAACATCACATACATCATGCTGACCTTTCCCCTGGATATCTGTGCATTCTTCAGAAACATTTGTGGTGACAAGATCTTAACACGTATGGCTGTAGGGGCAAAGGCTTCAATATGAAATGGAATCCCAGCAGAAGGTGTCTCCAACTTGCACGTGGTTCACTTCATGTATGGAGTCCTTTCCCCCTCTGTAGAAATTTATACTGGCCAAAATTCTGCTGCTTAGCATAGAACATCACACTAAAGTAGGACCAGTTAATCAATGGGGATTTGGTGAGTCAATGTCTCTGTAAATTCCATTTATTCAAATGAGCCTACTCTAGCTTTTGTAACTAGAGTAACCATTAATTTAACCAATGGAGCCTATGGAGGACCTGACTCACCTACTTCCCATTGATTCAGTGGGTCTACTCTAGTGCAATTTATTATGCTAAGCAACAGGATTTTGGCCACTGAAGGTGCAGATGTCAGGAGAGGGACAACATATTGTGGGTGATGCCACTGGCCATGCCATGTGAGGCATTCTGGGAATTGTTGCTGCAAAGAGGTAACATTTCCAAATGCTAACAACCAGTAAATCCTGCTGTTTTTGCTGTCTAGTTAGGACAACCAGGACTAAATGGACACAATGCTAACATGAGGAATAGGAAGAATCAGAAAATAGAGGGTAGAAAATTTCAAATCAGCCTCCCATGGCTGTGTGCCCCATTGTGAACAAGCAATTAGGATCCCCTCCTAATGCCAGAAGAACTGATTAGAGTTTTCAAAGTGTCCTTGTAACCTGATGCTGTCTGTATGCATTCTTATTACACAATTTTAATGTTTTTAAATGTATTTACTTTTGACAATTATTTTCATTAAGATTTTTATGAATTATGAATTGGCCTTAATAAACAAATCCACAAGGATTTTCTGCTGCTAACTTGAAAGCCATTATTCTTCAACAAAAGAAATTTTAAAAAGGGATTCCAGTGGAAAATTGCCAAACTAGAAGATACAAAACATGCTTGCTTTTGTTCATCTGAGTCTCAATTGGACTCATGATTCTACTCTGGGTATTCAATGAGCATGGCAATATGAGATGGATTATGCTACCACCAATTACTGGTACCAAGAGCATCAGGTACTGAGAGTGGCAGGAGAGCCAGCTATCATCAAGGTGCCAATAAGTGGTGCTAAGGAGCAGCTATTATCCTTACTCCCCAGCCATTCATAGCAGCCTGCCCTTCTAGCCTGCTAATCCAAGGTAAAATGGAATATGTTATCTCCATAAACAGCACTGGAGAATGATTCAGTTGCCAGTCTGGTTAGATTTTGTAACAGAAACCGAAGGAGCAGTACCATGTTATCCTTCATCTCTACAGTGGGGTCTCTACTTAAGAACTTAATCCGTATTGGAAGGTGGTTCTCAAGTGGAAAAGTTCTTATGTAGAATCTGCATTTCCCATAGGAATGCATTGAAAACCATTTAATCTGTATCTGCTCTTTTCCGTCCATAGAAACTAATGGGAAGCTGCTATTCTGCCTTCTACCACTAGAGGGGGATATTTTTTCTTTTTTCCCCCTTAGGTCAGGGAACAGTGTTAAAAGCACTTCTGACGAAGCTAATTTTGAAGCAATGGCCTGAAAACCAATTAATCTGTTCTGGCTGTTTTTTTGTTATGTAGAGGTGCGTCCGTACATTGAAGCATTAGTTCCCATAGGAACTAATGCAAAGCTGGTTAATACGTACTCTACCACTAGGGGGAGAACTTTTTTTAACCTAAGATGACCTAAGGTTAAAAAAAGAGCAGGAAAGTTTTTTTTTCCTGTTCTTATCTTGGATTTTTGTTCTCAAGTAGAAGCAAAATTTAGCAAATGGAGCTGTTCTTAAGTGGAATTGTTCTTAAGTACGGACGTTCTTAAGTAGAGACCCCACTGTACTAGAAAAAGTCTTGGACCAGCCCTGAACTCTATGCTTCTTTTTGTATACCTCTGAGCTTTCCATAGAGGTGGAACATACTCTCTAGCTTGAATTTCAGTTTCTGGAAGCCACTGTCTACTCTTCCCTGATCTCTCTGTATATACATGTGTGTGTAGACATGTATGCCCTTTATCAATTGAACAATGGGCTCTAGTTTATAAGAGTTTATGTCACAATAATCACAATCTCTTCAGATTTCCAAAGCACCTTTTCTTCTGGTAGAAACAGGACAGATAGTCCAAAAGGTCTTCTCTAGTTCCATAACTTTTTCAATCTGGTACAGTTTTGAATCTGAACTCTTACTACTGACTTTTTTTTATTTTCACGAGTTTTACTGACGACTTGTTCACATCATCAAAATCCAGAGGCTATTGTTCCAAAACTGTAATCCTGAAAAAAACAGTGGTTGCTGAAGTGAACATAAACTCCATTACCTTTCAAAGGTTTCACCACTTCAGCTACTTTATGTCATTCATAGGTAACCACATTTTTCTATGAACCTGTAAAGTTAATTTACAGAAGATATAAAACCTGCTAATGTCACATATTCGGGCATAAACGAAAAATGAGCCAAAAAATTAGCATGGATTGTTGAAAACCACTCTCAGTTCAACTGTGACTCACTCTTTGCCTGTATATGCAAATCAGAAGGTGATACAAGTTCAGTGACTATTTTTCAATGACAAATGATCGTGCAAACAGGTTGGTGCAATTTCATCAACTTGCTAGTGATTTGGTCCCATGTTCAGTGCCAGAGCATTCAGTTCTTATAGGGCATTTTGCCACCTGATCATTCTTGAAGAGAAAGTGCTATGTTAACTCAAAGTGGGATCCCTTTTGCAGCTTTTCTTCCATGTGTACCCCACCATAACTGACATAATTGCAACGAATGTATTAAGAGTATAAAGCATCTTGTGAGAAGCAAGCGTTACACGCATGAGTTGGGGCAGCTACATTACACATTTAAGTTTTGTTCTCACAATATGACCATGTTCCTGATCAAACAATCGCCTGGCTTCACTACAATTCATGCCTACTTTAAGAATTGCCTTTGTGGGCCAAGATCATTAATGCCGAAATAAAATGACATGAAGTGAAACAAAACAAAACAAATCATTTTGCTTGTCTTGAAAACTGACTTTCACTCCACATGATTTCTAAGTACTTTAACAGAAAACACACACACACACACACACACATCCTTGGATGTACAACAGGCCAAGGAATTGCACATGAGATCATATTTTAAACCTCAGATGTTCATCAGTGCAAGTCTACTGCATATTGCTAATTGAAATAATTTTTCCTAAAGCAGACAATCTGAGATCAGTAGCTAGCATTCACGTGGTCCATGCATATTTGTTCCCCTGAAACCATGATCCTAAGTACATTAACTGGACGTAAGCCCACAAGGCTTACTTTCAAATAATGCACTAGGGCTTAAATTGTAGATTTCAAGCTATAGTCCTAAATGGCTTCTCTTTGTATCCTAAGCAGCAATAAATAGATTTAAATGTATACAGTACAGTGGCTTGAACACCTCTCTTTAGAACCTACATTTGCTTTATTTCAAGGGCAATAAAAGTTTTCTAAAAGGAGTTCAGTGCTTGATCAGAGAGATTGACGGGTTCTGTCACCTGGAGGCTTTTGCTGCGGGAGCGGCAGCCTCCCTTGTAACAGCAGTAATTTAAATAAGGGGCTCAACAGAAGTCCTAAAGAGAAGGATACCTCAATCGTCCTTGCAGGCCTCCTGGGTATTTAAAAACCTCCTGATGACCAGGCCCAGGCACAGTATTAAGAGCAGCATGTAGCCCACGGTCCCGGCAAAGGTGGGCAAAGGGGGCGCAGGTCGCGTCTGCAAGAACTGCTGCAGGCCCCCTTCGACGTAGAACACCTGGTCGTAGATGCTCAGGAAGGTGAAGATGTGGAAGAGCTGGTGGCTGTGGCCGATGATGTCGAAGAGGCCCGGCTGGATGCGCTCGGGGATCTTGCTGACGTTGAAGAAGGCGGCCACCAGGAGCCAGAAGTAGCGGCGGTAGAAGTGGACGAAGAGGGTGGGGTTGTGGCCCTGGAGGTCGAAGAGGAGGCTCTCGAGCATGATGGGGCAGGCCATGCTGAGCGGCATGACGAAGACGAAGGTGCGGATGGCGAAGGGGTAGGCGCACCACTCGGAGCGGCTCTTGCAGCAGGCCACGGTGCAGGCCACGGCCAGGGCGAAGGCCACCGGCAGCACCAGGGCGCTGTAGGCGGCCAGGGGCGCGCGGCAGTCCACCTGCCAGCCCAGGCGCTGCTGCAGGTAGCGGCCCAGCGCGCGCGGCTCCAGCAGGCTCAGCCCCGGCAGCAGGTAGTAGTAATAGGCCACCGTGCTGGCGAAGCCGTAGTAGCTGATGGAGGCGTAGTCCAGGTAGAAGAAGGCGGCGCGCAGGCGCAGCGAGAGGCAGCTGAACACATGGGCCGTGCAGCTCATGGCCAAGGTGAGGAGCACGCCCGACGCGTAGCACCAGAGCGGCAGCAGCGCCGGGTGGTGGAAGGGCAGCTCGCCGGCGCCGCCGCGCAGCAGCAGCAGCCGCCCGAACCTGGCGGCGAAGAGGAGCAGCGGGATGAAGTGCGTCCAGAAGTTGAGCGTCTCGTTGGTGGGCTCCAGCACCGAGGCCAGGCACTCCGGCGCCGTGCAGTGGAGGCGCCGGTACCCCGACAGGATGAAGCACTCCACGAAGTCCTCGGGCACCTCGTCCCAGCGCAGCAGGGGGCCGCGGCGGCGGCGGCGGCGGCGACGACAGGGGGG